CTTCTATGCGGATCAAGATTACAAATTCACGCTTGAACATGCGTGGTGTGTGTTGAGGTATGAGCAGAAATGGCTTAACCTCAACACCACCAAAGCAAGTGACAGTTCAAAGAGGACAATCGGTGAGACAGCTTCCCAAGCTTCAGTCACCAACGTTGGCGAGGAAGAGGCCCGTCCTGAAGGTTGTAAGGCTGCGAAATCGAGAAGGGGTAATTCCAAAGGGAAGGGTGTTGAGGAGTACAAGAACATTTGGGATATCAAGAGAGAGGATTTGGAGATGAAGGTGGAACTGTCAAAGTTGGCTATTCTTGACACTCTCCTCGCTAAAAAGGAGCCACTAAGCGAGGCTGAGGAAGACATGAAGAATAAAATCATAGCCCAATGTTTCTGAGATGTCGTAGTTGATGTGCTGCAAGAATCCTATGTTGTTGTTCTTTGAGATGCTAAGTTCTGCTTTATTTATGTTGTTGTTCTTTGAAGTACTAGTTTACTTATTATGTTGTTGTTTTTAGGTTCTAGTTTGTGATGATCACAAACTAGCTATGTAATGCGGCTATCTATGAATGTTATTTGTGTTTTATTCTTGTGACTTTTACTTTATGTTACTGCTTAATTTATTTTAGTTATTTCTGTTTTATGCTTCTGGCTTATTATTTCTGTTTTATGCTTCTGGCTTATGTTGTTCTTCTATGTTGCAGGTTAAGTATATAATGGGTCTTTATAGCTACTCACAGCCTTCAGTCTCGGTAGAGTACGGTGGGAACTCTGGATACAACGAAACTGAAGACCTCATACCCCAAGACCAAGCGGAGCTTGGATACATGGAAGACCACATCCTTCAAGAAGCTGAGCTAGGATACATGGAAGACCACAGACGTCAAGCTCATGCGGTTAAGTATCCACCTCAGCCGGAGGTGGAGTTTGGGTTCCCTCAGGCGTGCTACTGTGGTGCTCGCCCTTTCCTCGCAACGTCCTACACAACAACAAACCCATGTAGAAGATATTACACCTGCGCCAATGTAGATGATGGTGATTGCCATGTCTGGAAATGGTGGGACACGACTGTCATGGAGGAGATGGGAGCAAGGGACAGACACGTCCTTGTGCTGGCTGAGAAGGTAGATGCACTTACTTATGTCAATGACCTTGATACTGAGCAGAAACTCATGGAGTTGGAGAAGAAAGTTGGTGACCGAGGTTGAATAATCATTTTGAGTTGGCTGTTGGTGTTGTTGTTCTTCTATTAGTTTGTCTTGGTATGGTTGTTGTTGTCTTGTAAGTTAATGTAGGTGTTCTTCTCTTGTAAGAAAATGTATTAAGCAAACTCAAACTATGCCTTGTATTTTCGATCACGGTTTTTATTAGGCAAGGAACTCTTTGTATGCCTTGTATTTTTCGAACTCATCTTTATGTAATTTGTATGAGTATAAATGAAATTCACAAACTATTACTATGTTTTAAAATACAAACTTAAGAAGTTTACGAAATCACAAACGAGTACTTTATTTATTAGGTTTGTATTTTATTTATTAGGTTTGTATGGTAGTTAATGTTTAGCATTTTAGCATATATGCTATGATTGTTATATTAGCATATTCGAAATCACCATTTACTCGGTGCAAATCACACCTCATTATTTGATTCTCCACAAAGCATATTAGCATATTTTTGGATGGCTATAGAAAAACAAGGCAATATTTGATTCTTCAACAAGCATATAAGCATATTATAAAAATTTAAAAATTGTCGAAGATACCAAGACTACCACAGTGTCCCAAAAATAAATTATTTGCTAAAACCCAAGAATTTGTGCGAAAAGATGTTGAGCGTGCCTTTGGAGTTCTGCAAGCTAGATTTGCCGTTGTTAAAAATCCCTCAAAATTATGGGATAAAAATAAAATCGCAAATATTATGAGATCATGTATCATACTCCATAATATGATCGTCGAAGATGAACGTGATGCATACACTCAGTATGACGTTTCAGAATTTCAACAAGCTGATGATGTCGATCTTACGTACTCGGTGGATATGCCTTCAAATCTCGGCAACACAATTGAACGTCGAACAAGAGTTCGAGATAGACGTGCCCATGAACACTTAAAAGAGGATTTGATTGAAAACATATGGACTAAATTTGGACATCTTCAAAATGACATATAATTAATAGGTTTTTATTACATAAATAAAATTTTATGATCTTTATATGTGTTTTTTCTTCGTATTTTGTTTTTTAAACTTCTGTTATTTTTTTTATATGTTTCAATCTTAATGTTATATGTTTTTAATAAACTTATCATTTCCATGTCATAATTTAAAAAAATTCACTAAGAAACAATTCAAAAGTCCTAGCAATAATCTCCTTCTTTATGATTGTTTCTTAGCTTTAACAAATTACTAAAATAAGCTAAGAAACTTTTGATCATCCCTAGCAATAATCATGCCCTTAAGGATTCACCTTTTAATATTCTACTCCATAACAATCTCAAGTGAACGTGATCATCACTAAGCTCTTTAGCTATATTGGTTTCGATTGGTGACACTATTAGAGTTGAATTACAATAAAAATTATAATTTGATATAATCTGAAGTAAAATTATGTAGTATAAACAGTAGATTTACGTGGCAAGTTTGCTGCAGAAATATGAGTTATTATCATGTCTTGGAATGTCAAATTGTTATGAGTAAGAGAGATACACAAACACAATAGGGAAAGAGACTTGCAT